TAGTCAGTCTGGCTAAGGGCTTATCTATATGGTTGATTTTCTCAAAGTACCAGCTCTTGGTTTTGTTATTTGTATCTTTCTCTTTGTTTCTAACTGGTTAATTTCAGCCTTGAGTTTGACTATTTCCTACCCTCTACTCCTCTTGGATGTGTTTGCTTCTTTCTGTTCTAGAGCTTACATGTGCACTGTTAAGTTTCTTATATGGGATCTCTCCAATTTCATCATAAAGGCACTTAGTGCTATAAATTTTCCTCTTAACACTGCTTTCATTGAGTACCATAAATTTGGGTATGATGTTTCTTCATTTTCATTGAATTCTAGAAAGTCTTTGATTTCTTCATTTCTCTCCTGACCAAGTTATCACTGAGTAGAGAGTTCTTCAGTTTTCATGGGTATGTGGGCTTCCTCTTGTTTTTGTTATTGAAGTCTAGCCTTAGTCTGTGGTGATCTGATAGGATGCATGGGATTATTTCAGTCTTCTTGTATCTGTTGAGGCTTGTTTTGTGACCAATTATATGGTCAGTTTTGGAGAAGGTACCATGAGGTGCTGAGAAGTTATATTCTTTTATTTTAGGATGAAATATTCTGTATATATCTGTTAAATCTATTTGGGTCATAACATCTATTAATTTCAGTGTCTCTGTTTAGTTTCTGTTTCCATAATCTCTCCATTGGCAAGAGTGGGTTGTTGAAGTCTCCCATTATTATTGTATGAGTTTCAATGTGTATTTTGAGCTTTAGTAATGTCTCTTTTATGAATGTAGGTACCCTTGCATTTGAGGCATAGATGTTCAGAATTGAGACTTTGTATTAGTCAGGGTTCTCCAGAGTCACAGAACTTATGGAATGTCTCTATATATTAAGAGAATTAATTTATTGTGATGATTTATAGTCTGTAGTCCAACGGTGATGTTTTGTATATGCTCTGCCCAGGGAGTGTCACTATTACAAGGTGTGGTCCTATTGGAGATGTGCTGGCAAGCACAGTGAATCTTCATTCTTCCATTGTTCTTATGTAGGCCTCTAGCAGAAGGTGTGACCCAGATTAAAGGTGTGTACCAACACACCTGGTTTTGGGACTTGCTTTGTTTCAAGATGACCTTGAATTCAGAGATCTCCTTGCTTCAGTCTCCTGGGATTAAAGGTATATACTACCTTGCCTGGGCCTAAGCTTTTCATGGCCACTGTTTCTCAAGATCTCCATGCCAAGATCCAGGTCAGAAACTTGTCAACTTGTCTTCCAGCCTCAATTCCTGGATCACAGGTGAGCCCTCTAATTCTGGACTGTTGTTCATTCCAGATATAGACAAGTTGACAACCAGGCATATCCATTACATTGGCATTAGCTCTTCCTTAAAAATCTGGTAGAATTTTGTACTAAAAGCATCTGGCAAAGGACGTTTTTCTGGTTGGGAGACTTTTATGACTGCTTCTATTTCCTTCAGGTTTACTGACTATTCAGATAGTTTAACTGATCTTGATTGAGCTTTGATAATTTGTATCTGTCTAGAAAATCATCCATTACATTTAAATTTTCTAATTTTGTGGAGTAAAGACTTTTGAAATAAGACCTAATGATTCTTTGAATTTCCACAATGTCAGTTGTTATGTCTCCCTTTTCATGTCTCTCTTATTTTTCTCAAAGAACAAGCTCTTGATTTTATTGATCTTTGTTTTGTTCTCTTTGTTTCTAGTTGATTGATTTCAGCCGTGAGTTTGATTTTTTTTCCTGCCATCTACACATCCTGGGTGCATTTGCTTCTTTTATTTCTAGAGCCTTCAGATGTGCTTTTATGAGAACTCTCCAGTTTCTTTATAAGGGCTTTGAACTTTCCTCTTAGCACTGCTTTCATTGTGTGCCATAAGTTTGGTTATGTTGTGTTCTCATTTTCATGGAATTCTAGAAAGTCTTTAATTTTTATTTCCCCTGACTCAGTGATCATTGAGTGGTGAGTTGTTCACTTACCATGAATATGTAGGCTTTCTATTGTTTCTGTTGTTGTTGAAGTCCAGCTTTAACCCATGGTGATCTGATAAGATGCATGGGGTTATTTGAATTTTCTTGTACCTTTTAAGGTTTGTTTTGTGACCGACTATATGGTCCATTTTGGAGAAGGTTTTGTGAAGTGCTGAGAAAATGGTATTTTCTTTTGTGTTTGGGTGATACCTATATATCTCTATAGATAGATATTTGTCCATAGATCGATGGATAGATAGATAGATAGATAGATAGATCTATAGATACATATTGGGTTCATTCTAATCATAACCTCTGTTTCATTATTACTCTGTTTAGTTTCTGTCTAAATGAACTGTCTATTGGTGAGAATGGGATATGAGGTCTCCTACTTTTAATGTGTGGGATTCCATGTGTGATTTAAACTTTAGTAATGTTTCTTTTACAAATGTGTTGCCCTTGTGTCCTGGCCAGCAGGGCATTAAAGAGGAGTCCAGAGAGATCACTTGAAAGAGAAGATGGGGGAAACAGGCGAACACAAGGAACACGGCTTGTCTATAGGCTGATCAAACCGTAATTTTTACTTTTTTACACATAGGTTATATACACAAAAAAGCAGGATGTGGGGAAGGGGATGACACAGGACCGTAGGTGTTCGGGGGAGTACAGATATCTTCCAGAGCAGAGTGTCAGCTGGGTGAAGGTTCAGGGGACAGATCACTCTAGCCTATGATTCACTTCTCCTTATCTAAGTTGGTACTATCCACCAAGGCCTATGTATCTACAAGGTCTATGTATTCAGCCTGGCAATTTTCCACCAAAGCTGCTTCTTTACAATAGCTTCTAGGCATCTGTTTCAGTGTTTTTCCACAGAGATCCAAGACTTGGTGCTAGCAGGCATGTATGTCAGGCCTGTTGGTGATTTTAGGCCTACGGCTGATTTTAGGCCTTCAGTGTATAAGCAGGGCTGCCCCTGACACCCTTGCTTATGGTGCACATATGTTCTGAATTGAGATGTCCTCTTTTGAATTTTTCCCTTAATGAGTATCAAGTGTCCTTCCTTGTTTCTTTTGATTACTTTTGGTTGAAAGTATTTTATTAGATATTAGAATTGCTACTCGAGGTTGTTTCTTGGGTCCATTTGTTTGGGATACTTTTTTCTAGCCCTTTATACTGAGATGATGACTCTCTTTGTTGCTGAGATGTATTTTTTGTAAACAGCAGACAGATGGATTCTGTTTACATATCCATTGTTAGCCTGTGTCTTTTTACTGGGAAATTGAGTCCATTGATGTTGAAAAACATTAATGACCAATGATTGTTACTTCCTGTTATTTTGATGTTGGTGGTAGTTGTGTGTGTGTGTGTGTGTGTGTGTGTGCATGTGCCTACATACCAATGTGTATCTATGCACATACATGTATGTGTGCATTTCTATTCTCTTGGTTTTAATAGTGTGAAATTATTTCTTGTGTTTACTTGAGTATAGTTAGCGTCATTGGGTTCTAGTACACTCTGCAACGGTGGGTGAGTGGAGAGGTATTATTTGAATTTGGTTTTGTCATGGAATATCTTGACTTCTCCATCTATGGTAATTGAAAGTATTGTTGGGTATGGTAATCTGGGCTGACATCTATGGTCTCATAGGGTCTACAAGACCTCTGTCTATGCCCTCCTAGCTTTTAGAGTCTTAGATGAGATGTAATTTTGAGGTGTAATTCTGATAGGTCTGCCTTTATAGGTTTCTTGGCCTTTTTCCCTTGCTGCTTTTAAAATTCTTTATTTGTTCTGTAATTTTAGTGTTTTGATTATTATGTGGCAGGAGGATTTTTTCCATTCTAATCTGTTTGGTGTTCTGTAAGCTTCTTGTACCTTTATAGGCATCTCTTTCTCTACATTAGGGAAAATTTCTTCTGTGATTTTGTTGAAGATGTTTTCTGGGCCTTTGTGCTAAGAATCTTTCTTCTTCTCCCCTTCCCCGCCCCCTCCCCCTCCTCCTCCCCCTTCCCCTCCCCCTCCCCCCTTCTTCTTTTCCTTCTTCTCCTTCTTCTCCTTCTTCTTCTCCTTCTTCTCCTCCTCCTCCTCCTTCTTCTTCTTCTCCTTCTTCTTCCTCCTCCTCCTCCTCCTCCTCCTATTATTCCTATTATTCTTCTACTGTTCCTATTATTCTTATGTTTGGTCTTTTCATGGAATCCAAATTTTCCTGGATGTTTTGTGTCATAAACATTTTAGTTTTTGCATTTTCTTCGACTTATTGATTTCATCTATCATATCTCTACACTTATTCTGTTGGTGATGCTGATTTCTGTAGTTCTTGTTATCTTTCCTAGATTTTCCGTCTCCATCACTGCCTCAGTTTGTGAGTTTCTTTATTTCTTTCATTTCCCTTCTAAGTTCTTGCATAGTTTTGTTCATATTCTTCACCTGTTTGGATGTATTTTCCTGTATTTCCTTAAGGAATGTATTCATGTCCTCGTTAAATGCCTCTATCATCTTTATAAGATTGAGGATCCTCTTCTTCTGCTTTAGTTTTATTAGAGTATCCAGGGTTTGTTGCAGCAGGATAGCTGAGTTCTAGTAGTCCCATATTACCCTAAATCTTGTTGATTGTGTTCTTAGGCTGTCCATTGGGCACCTGGTTTTGCCTGGTACTGGCTATATGATCCTGAAGGCAGCAGGACTTCTCAGGGAGGTGGGAGGAGCCGTGGACCAAACAATGGACATCAGAGTACCCTAGTCTGTTATCTGTGCCTTAGTCAGGCCCCATTCTGTAGGTTGTATCCCAGTCAGACCAAGCTGGGGTAGGATGCAGATGCAACTAGGATGGGTGGTCGGGCAGGGTTTCAAACTGGTTAGTTTTGGGGCTTGCTTCCAAGGAGAGGCAGGATGTTCTTGGGGGTTCCACAAGGCTCCTCTGGACCAAGGAGCAAGTGCTGAGGGGCCTGTGCCCACCACTCACCTCTGCAGGCTGTCATAATTTTGTTTTGTTTTGTTTTTAAAGTAATGTCAATAGCTGACAGATTTGGAACCTGTGGAGATCAGGATGGTGTTGCTAGAGAGCAAACAGTTCCTGAAAGAGCTGACCAGGCTCTTCCAGAAGTGCCAGTTGTTGGCCAACATGTTCATCACCCTGAAGAAGTATGATGGTTGCACTAAACCGATTCCAAGGAAGAGTTCTGTGGAGGACCTCAGGCCCACAGAAAACAAGTGTCTGATAAGAGCCACAGATGGGAAAAGGAAGAGCATCACCGTGGTGAGTTCCAAAGAAGTGAATATATGTTCTGTAATACTGTTGAGTAGGAAGTTGCCAGCAGTTTTCCCCTTTTGCTTGAAAAGAAAAGAGTGCCAAGATGGTGGAGCAATGTCTCAGGAGCTTCTGAAGGAGTGAAGACTTTCCGTGCCATACCAATTGCCAGTACAGGCCTATTCAAATCTACTGAGAGCCAACAGGGATGAGCTGAAGAAGAGAGGCAAGAAGAACAAGGGTAAGAAGACCAAACCAGCACAGTGACAGGCGTGGTCACTACCAGCCAGTCACACAAGTACAGTTTTCCTTTGTTTTCTGCTTTTGGCACCCTCTGTATTTTAACTGTTCTCTCCCAAGGGTACTTTAAGAGAGAAGGGTTCGGACATTCATAGGCTACTTGTGGTAAGAAGCCAATTTTAGATTTCCAGTGTATGTAGCCAGATTAATTGCTAGATATTCTTAGATTCCAGCCATAAGATTGCTAGTTGTCTTTGAAGAGCTGTACATCACTAATCTCCATGCTAGCTCCTTCTTTTCCTACCCTATTTCCAACAATAACTACTAACACTAGATGGTACAGTTACTCAGTGATTTTTCCCTTGTCTTTGAGATTACTATGGCAGTTTTATTAAAAGTTGTGTTATCCTAAAAAAAAAGTAATGTCAACAATTACATTATTATGCAAGATTAATATGAGAGGAAATGTTTTTATAAGCAGCAAGTTAAGATAGGATGTGTACTCATATAGGTAATTAATCATAAAAGTAGAACATATTATATCATAGTGAAAGAAACTATTAGTGGTGTTGACTAATCTTGAGATTTGCAGAGATCTAAGGACAGGTCTAGTAAAGGCTTGAATGGCTTGTCATTGGCAAGGGAATAAGGAAGACCTGGAGAAGGTAGCTAGTTATACTCACTGATTGGGGTGGGCAATGCCCTCAATCCGCAGATTTCCGAGCCTTGGTGTCATCTAATACCAGCTGGATCCACACTTCCTTACTGCTCTTACTGGAATGCTGTCTGTGGTTCATTATTCCTTAAATGTAAATGTTCACGTTTACATGTAATATTTGAAAAACATCATTCTCTATGCAATCTGGGTTCTCTATGCTCCAGATTGCACTTACATCTGAAGAATTGCTGGTGTATCAGTTAGAATCCCATTTGTAAAGAACAATTATACACGATTATCATATGCCTAAGCTAAACACTGTCTTCTAAAGTATTTATTTCAATTTATTTTACTTACCAGATCTTCATACTAGGTAAATTATTAGGTTTCTTTCCATAAAATTTATTCTGCTATTCTCTCTTTTCTTCAACCATCAATTGTATTTCAGTACTTACTAAACTATGGATAACCCCTGTCTCCTGGCATTTCAAGTTCTTGATTGAAAGGTGGTAGAACTCTCTACCACTTCACACGCCACGTGTTTTACAGGGTAGCATCTACACATGATATGTTACATTAAACTCTACAGAGACATCAAACAACCAAATCTCTCCCATGGTGTCAGTACATTTCCCTTTTGCTTTTTAAAACTTTTGATTGAGGGAGTAAAATTATCAAGGTTTTTTTTTCTCTTAAAAATATTCTCCTTAAATTTTGTTCAAGAAGAAATGTACTTCTATTTTACGTATTTTCTATCTTTCAAGAAGTAGCCCATTTCTTCCATGTTTACAATGCAGTTTTCAAGTATTTAAGACACACCAACAAAACATTTAACGTTAAATGTCTGGTGTGGCAATATGGTTAATACTTGCTTAATAAAGCTTTCAGTTGTTTACTCTCTGAAAGCACAAAGAAAATAAAATTACAACTACTTCTTTTTTAAGATTTAATATCAGAGGCAAGGCTGAAGTATTTCACTTATTGCCAATCAAGTAAACCCAGAAATTAAACACTGAGCTCTATAACTTATTTGTGTTGTTTTGGTTTGGTTTAGCTTAGAAGAGACTCTGTGTTTAATGAAAAAATTCTTTTTCCTATTTGAAATCTTAAACCTTTAGACAATTATGATTTAATATGAATCTGATAATTTTTATTGGGCTTAGTTGTTTTCTGTTAACTTCCACTCTTAGAATACACCTAATATAGCCTTATGTTAACTTTTCTACAGATAGTGTATATCTTACAGCTTGCACTCACTCAGCTATTGTTAAAGTTTTTGGTACACTAAACAGAAATATGATATATTATAGATTTTATAGGGTACCATGCAATTTGTCTTATACTTTCTGCTGATTTCCTGTGACTGCATTTATTTATATTATAGGTGTATATGTTCTATATATATATATATAAATACATATGCAGGCTATAATAGTGAATGCTTCTAGTCCCACCTCTTGAGATGTAGGGAAGAAAGAATCAAGGCCTCCAGGTCATACTCTGCTACATAGTAAACTCAAGGCCAGCCTGAGCTACCAGAGACTGTCACAAAATACCAAAAAGTAAATTGGCATGGTAGCACATGCACTTAATACCAACACTTAGGAGGCAGATGTAAGCTGAAACTACATAGTGAGATCCTGTCACAAAAATCTTTAAAAAGAAAAGAAGAAAAAAACCTTTCTAAAATGACATTAGTCATTTAATAAATAAATAGATATGAATTCTATTATAGAAATGCTGTGATAGACTGCATAAATGTTATGCCTTCAATTATACTATGTTTCACTTACATGGCTCTTTTTCATTTATTACGTGAATCAGTTACACTAATCAAGATCTACCCTAAGAAGGGTAGGGAATAAGGTTTTGAAAGCAAAGGAATGATAAAGAAGAATAGTGCCTGGCTCAAAGAGCACGATGAACTGCAATCCAATCCATTTCTCCTTGGCTTTATATTTACAATCATTGGAGATCATGTAAATATTCACATGTGCCGACATGGTATTTTTTTCCTTCATATGTTATGACTTCGTAATTAGGCGCTGTTGCTGCTTCTTTCTCTAGAGTATGTGAAAGAGTTGTCCTAGTGGGAAGAAGCGATGGCAAATCAATTACTACTTGTAACCCCTGGCCTTTAAAAATCAGGTGTGTATCTGGTTTGTTTAGTTTTGTTTTTCAGTTCATCTTGTTGCCTATGGCCTACCTCTCCTGGAGTACACATGGGCAGAGAGCATGCTTTCTTCCCATTCCTGCATCTTTTAATCTTTGGTTTCATTAAGACCGTGGTAAATATAACTTCAGATGTGGTTAAAATTAGTTCTGAGATTTTTGTACAGTAAGATAATAGACAAATAGAATACAACTTATAACAGCTTTCCACAACAGAGATTCTATGATAGACTAAAATAAAATAAATACATTTTCATTCAACATAAATAAAATAAATCCTCTTCTGTTAATTGAAAAGTAGAAATATGACTTATGTTTATTTGATTTATATAATTTATTCCTCAGTAACTCTATAAAGAAGGTGTTTTTATTGTCTGTATTTGTATAGGAATAGAAGAAACAGAAACGGGTAGAATATTACAATTTGTACAGTGGCCCAAAATGAGAAGTGTAGGAACTGGGTCCTTTACCAGATTTCTGGAATTTATCAGGTTTCAGAGTTGAGACCTCCAAGCATTGTATACCTGTCTATCCTGGAGGTAGTGCAAAGCTAATTAAAGAAGAAACAAAGAAAAACGAAATAAAACAAAACAAAGAATCCAAAAGAGATCATCCTTGTAATCCCAGCACTTGGGAGGCAGAATCAGAGGGATCTCTTGTAAATTCAAGGCTAGTCTAGCTTCCATAGCAAGTTCCAGACCAGCTAGGGCTACAGAGTAAGACCTTTCCCTAAACAAAAGGTCCTTTCTTAAACAAGTTGTTAAAGTCTTTAGCCCCTTCTGCCTTTTAAAATTTTTCTACTTTATCTTTCTTTTCATTGCAAACTGACCATTGATAAACTCTCTAATTAATCTTTGTGATTCTGTACTAAGAGAAGGTTATCTGGACTGAATCTCCCACAACAGTAGGGTCCTGTAGCTGTTGCTTTCTGACATCAGCTGGCAACTGCCACAAGTTTCCATGATTCCATTCAGTCAGAACCTGGAGTTCACATGAATGACCATTTTGCATGTTGTACTCTGAGCTCTTAGGACATACTCTCTGTCCCCGAAGTCTATCAGCTTCCTGGGCACTGAATGGTTTGCTCGAGTTGCATTTTAAGTCAATACAAAATCATGCTCTGTTTTATTCTGTTCACAATCTGCCAGTCTCTTGCATTTATTTGCAACTACATCACAGATCATGAAACTAAAAATAGTCTTCAGAGAGAACTGATTCTTCTCTTTTTTGGTGTGAGTTCAGTTTTATATAGGTTTGATCATTAAAGGAAAAAAATAGAGATGTTTTGAATTATAAGTCTCATTTACAAAAGATATTTTAAAGAACAATTTCCACCATAGGCAAATTTATTTAAAATCAAGTTAAAGACTAGAACACCCTGTTTCTAAACTTTTACATTTATGAAACTATTAATTGTTAGTTTTCATCCATTCCAACATCATATGATATGAGTTTTTATTTGTATGTGGTGAACCTGAGTTGTGACATGATTAATAGCTCCTTATATTTTAATTGATAAAACTTCAGGAAAAAATAATAAAAAGCATGCATTAGTATCAGTATTTTCTACTTTAAATATGTATCTGCTTTAAAGAACTATCTGTGATAAAAATCATACACAATCAGTGAAAGTGTAGTAGTACTTCCTTTTAAAATGACAAAGGGAAAAAAAGGCTTTTGGTCCAACCGGGGAATGCTGACTTGGAAAAAAATGGTAGTTTGACACTGTAGAAGAAATAAAATTGTCATGAACAAAGGTGAGGCGGGATTGTATTTGTCAAGAAAAAACTCCTTCAGGATGAACTGTCTGGGCTGTGGCGTGTCACATCTCGTCACACAGATTTAATGACTAGTAATGTTGGAGGAATAGGCCTTTTGTCAGATCATTATACCTGTCCCAGTTACAACTGCCTCATGATGTAGCGACTGGTTCAGATAAGGGCCAAAATATTTCAGGTGAAACACGGCTCAAATCAGTCACGTTTTCTCTGATGAGGAGAAGGAACAATGTTGGTTTTACCTGGAAGACACTGAAGGTGAAGCCCTAGGGCAAGAACGTGGAACTGCCTTTGGTACCCAGCAAACGAGAACGGAGGATTTGCTTGGCCTCTGATTCTGTGCAACTAGTTAGCTATACTTTGTCTTGCTTTACTACCCACTGAACACAGTTAATTCTGAAATTTATTCTTCTTAGCTG